ATCCTTTAAATAGAAAAGCACTAAATACGCCTTAAACATTAGACACTCATACTTACAAATAATTTTCCCTCTATTGAGACAACTAGCCTATGGACATGTGTAAAAGGAATCGAGTAATCAGTACCGTTCCACCTTATCGTTCCCCCTCGCAGTAGGATGATATCCTAGAAACCGAAAAAAATGCGTTAATCTAACTTGCGTCTCGTAAATTCCTCGACGTCAAAATGTTTTATATGTGTTATTGAGGTGTAATGAATAAGAATCGAATCGAATAATACATACCACGCTAAATACACTGACATTGAAGCTTTCCATAAATGCTACGGATTCGGATGTTTTGCCAGCATCAGCAATCACAGTGAATTGGTTTCTATCTTCAGCCATGCATGTGTCAATCAACACGTATTCACATTCTCCGTTATAGTCGAACAATGTACCATCAAACGTTTGATAATGCATGCCTCCCCAAGTTGAAAACACTTCGCGACCTACATATGTCAAGTAATCCAATGATTAGATAATGCACGTGAGTATAATGATAAATTCATGGTTTACTGTGATTGAAGTGTTGCACTCTCTTGTTTCATAGTGGAAATAAAATATGATAATTTATAGGATATATGGTCTATATGAAATTTTTTAATATCAACAAATTTAAGTTAGTTAGCAGACTGACGGTGATTCTGTCACTCCTTCAAAACTATGTACGAGAATCTAGTCGTTGATTAGACTTACCTTGCTCACATAATTGTGAACCATGGTAGAGCATCTTACACGTTGTGAATTGTGATACAACACTGTATCCAAACGTTCCATCTACACGCATGACAAATATTAACATATTATACAGCGTAGAAGCCTGTAATTCGGTAATTATATAGTAACACGTAGTACAGTCTTCTGCAGTAGGAAGTTTATACCAATACTCGGTATTAGCGTCATTGTATTGAATTTCAATCCACGAAATGCGGTCGGCTTGAGAAAACGTAACTATACTATGCACCGAAAATGACGTATAATACTCAAATTGTGTGTCCAAGCTCTCCATATATTTCTGGTCGATAACTGTAAAATGAATAATTAAATACATCAAAATAAATTAATATATTATTCTAACTCTTTCATCACAAATATATAATCGGATACATTTGCGTCAATATGACACACTATGTAAGTATTCACAGCAATTGAAAACTGTCAGCTTTGAGCACTATGCTCCCTATAACACTAACCCACTCACCAATATCGCAGACTTTTCCTTGTTCCGCTGGCCACCCGCTAGGACAGGTACCAAACAATGCAATTATGCTGTAATAATATTCATCGTCCACGGATATGTACACCTGTATTTCGTATGTTGTTAACGCAGTAAGATTATAGATGTTAACAGACGTTTCATGGGTAAGTTCATTTGTCAAAGTCCAATCACTTTCTCCGATTTCCCTGTATCGTAGTATGCTCCAATTGTGACTGGCTTCGGCGTGGATTGACCATGCTATCCGCAGTCCTTCAGAAAGCGTCGTTTCCGCTACTATGTCATATGGTATAAGGCTATTCAGATCTACAGATACATAGACACATGGGTTAGTTTGGAATGTAGTGCAACGTTTTTTTTTTGGTTAGTTCGACGAGACCATCCCCGTCCGCGTCATACACAAGAAATTATAGGACACAGGTGGAAGGTCAGAGTGGTCGAGTTAATAGTTAGTGTCGCGGTTAGTGGGTCGAACCAACCTATACCTTCTTAAATTGAAATATTGTTATATGTATTTCCAAGGTCTAAGCACAAGTCATCTTCTGCAATTGATGTTAATAGGTGATTTTCCGTACAACTGCGAGATCGCGCGAGATGCATGAAAGACACGCGTCGAACGTCTGCCGCAAAAATCGAACGATTTGATTTTGAACTCGAATTTCTTTATTTCGTAGCGCACATCGACCGGCCGATCTTCGACAGAGGAATATTGCATTCGAATATCCTCACTTAGTCGAAATTGCCCATCATCAAATGTGTACAGCACATTATTGACATGCAAATGTTCCCCAAAATACTTTCGCGTTTGTCGAATCTCACGCGATGTTTGACGCCACTACTTTGTTTGTCCTGTTTTTACGTTCGATTTCACGCATAACGCGTGATTCTCGCAGTGAACGGAAAATGGTCTATTAATCGCATGTATCATACCTGTTCCGTGCGATACAGCCCATTAAGTATTTTTTTTATATCTCACCCCAATATCTAATAGGCTATCGATCTGATTGGTCGATGTCAAATTTGTGATATCATCACAATCCGATATTACAGTATCACTCCTGGGGGAACCATCTACTAGTATACCATATGATGAATTGATGCGCTAGAACTTACGAAAACTAGTAGCCTCAGACCAGCAGTATAACTGAATAAAATGTAGGTTAACGAAATATGACCATCCATCAGTAATTAAATATATTTTACGTCATATTTATTAAAACATTCAGCCAAATAACAAGCAATGACAACCCCATCTATTAATCGGAAATAATACCCCAATCCAACTCACTAACCTTCTTCGCAATTCAGGCCCACTGTATATAGTGGACAGCTTCGTGCAACAGACAGTAGACTATTGTATTGAACAGTATTACGGAAAGCTACCACAGAAACTTCTAAATATTCTGCTGGAATGCGTCCATTTATCAGTATTGACCGTTGATTTCCAGAAATTTGGAGGGGTGGGTCTTCCCAGTCTGTATTTCCGCGGCGTCTATATTTAACTTCAATGTTATCTGCGCCGAGAAGCAATGACCAGGTAATTCGAAGCGACTGGGTTTGCACTTGAGACATAAGAATGTTAAAAGGTCCTTTCGCTCTCATATCTTTTGGTAAAAAAAACACACAGAAATATTAACATTACTACATAGATTCCATATAAATATTTCGATGATAAATACTACACATTGCATTGAAATGATAATTTACTTTGCGTATACTTTGTTCCTAAAAGGCACATAATATTCAATGAAATGAAATAAGATATACATTGTACATTTGAGATTTTCTGACAATGAGAATTTATAGAATTATTTTACAAATAAGCAGATAACAAGGGTATGACGATTAAACAGGTAAGTAAATAATGAGCATACCGTATTCACAATTTAACCCTTCAAAACCGAACAAACATGTTGTGAACGTCAGCGGGCTACTGGTGTGTAAGGCATTCGTACTATCCAATACGACTACACGCACGGTATACATTGTCACCGGGGATAGCTCATACAATGCATAGTCGAGTCGTTTTCGTGGAATAGTTGTAGTACTAATCCATTCTTCCGATGACATATTCCAGTACTGAACCGTTAACTCCTGAACATCGTCAATGTCCAATGACCATGTCATATATACGGATACACTGTTCAACTGCCATATAATGATGTCATAAGGTGCTTTGACAGGAACTCCTGAAAACATAACAATATTAACACATAAGTGAGTTTGTCCAATTTATATAATTAACAAATGCTACCCCATTTTCAACTCAAATATAATTAATTTAACCTACTTAGTTCACAGTTAACTCCTTGCCAACCACTTGGACATGTCGTAATTGTAATAGGTATAGAGTAGTAGATAGAACCATTGCTATGCTGTACTTTAATCCGAATTATATAGGACGTATCTGGTATGAGATTCTGCAACAAACCCAGGCTACGATCAGTGTAATATGTCACGTAATCGATCCATTCTTCTCTTCCCGATTCTCCCACGACACTGTACTGGATTGTCAGTGACTGCACCTGTACATCCAACGACCATGACAATGTGATTGACGTCTCTGCTACTTGATGCAGAAACAAATTGAATGGAGCAATCATCGAGAAATCTAAACAAAGAAAGAAACAGAGCACGTACATCGTTAGAGACGGTAAGTGAAAAGCAAATAAAGGTGTAGTAAGAAATCATGTGTATGATCGATATACACACTAGTTAAAGATGTTGATTGTTATGTTGATGATTACAAACAAACACTGTGTGACACGATGATGTCTATGTAATCAGAAGGAAACTTCACCTTGAGCTCAAACACCAACTTTAATAATCAAAACCATTTTTTTTACTTGTCAAAATTTGTGGTGTTCATAGATGCGTTAATAATATTGTGATTATTGTGAATACATACTCACCATCATCGCAATCCAAACCTTGCCACCCTCTTTGGCATGTAGTGAATTGTACACTTTCTCCGATCGTCAATACACCAGAAATAGTCGAAGTTATAACTCGTATTTCATACAGCGACAATTCGAGCAGATCTTGTATGATGAAATCAGTTCTAGTGTTCATAATGATAGTACTGTTTATCCAAGTGTCCGTCTCCACCAGTCTGTACTGTATTATGTACCAAGAAAGTTGTGTTCTCACAGACCAAGTAATTTGGACGCCGATCGAGGAGATTGTCAGAATGTAAATATCGTATGCACCCATCACTGCAAAAAAACAAACGCACGTATTTGTTTTTAAGACACCAAGCGTGGACACATGTACTAATTAGCCCAACTAATTAGAAAATAAACTGTAGATAGTCCAGTAAAGGATTGAATAGGAATTTTGTATTGAGTATTATTGCATCACAAACTTTACCTAATGAACAGTTTCTGCCGTCTCCCTCGTAGCCAATATCACAATGGCATCCATACACTGCATCAACCAGAGAACAAGTTGCATTTTCGTGACATGAAATATCCTCACAAATAACAACACTGCCAGTAGTACACATACACTCCTCGATGCACCCAGACAGGGTAAATCTTTCACCAATCTGAGGGATAGGCGAAATGCCATAGTTAAGCGTTATAATAATGACAATATATTCGTTAAATGGAGTTTGTCGGGTAGATATGAAAGCTACAAGTAAAGTTTCTCGGCGTCTAGTGACAACGAATACAATGAAACAATGCCTAATCATATAACTAATGCCTATAACAAATCGTCATACTAACCATATAATATTGACCTATGTTTTCGCAACCGCAGTCCTCGGGTTCAATACAATTTCCTGAATCCCACACTTTTCCGCCCATACACTCACACCCCTCGCTACACTGGGAAACGCAACTTGGTATATAACCGAGACAAGTCGACGGGCACGCATTGCTGCAAATTGAGTATTCACTACCAGTGGGACATGACAAAGCTAACAAGTTAAAATACAAAATATATAGTATAAGAATTAAAACGGAAATAATACAAAAACAGGTGTCAATGCATGGGAAAGTGGAATTCATCAGTTTGAATAAGTATCCAATATTTTTGAGCAAATCAAAACAGTGCATTGCCACTTACGACAGAATGATTCATTTCTCCACTCCTGAAGTTCAACACCGATGTCTTGACAGCTTTGTACATACACACTAATTACAGAGCAAACGGCGTATGCGTCAAGGGATGACCCACACGCATCATAAATACAAGTTTCCATGTACCGGGCTGGGTTAAGGCTGTCGTGACACTGTGCAAACGGCCCTGTAATGTAAAATATATTGTCAATGTATAAGTAAAACGCATACACGATATATGCTACAGTGCTATTTTGAAAGTTTAAAAACTATTAATATTTAATATTACCTATGACTATATTAATAATATATATATAAACATATACTCGCCATTTGCATCTGATATAATATTACACATTTGTATTTCGTCATCTTTGACCTCCAGGCCCTCACATGGATCAACGTCCAACGCTGTTGAGCTACAAGCGTCGCTATTGGCAACCCAAGTGTTACCAAACTCCGCCATTTCCTCTATCTGTGAATGAACTTGGCTATACTTTGCCTGAATTGACAGCTGCATTTTTCAAGATGTGTTAAGGGAATAATTTGAATAGATACTACCACACAATAGTCATGACGTGTTTCCATGGTTTTTAAACCATATTTTTCAGTCATTGTTAGATGCAGAGGAATAACGCACATGTATGAATAGACGAGACAAGTGTGAGAGTAGTTATCGCCGGGAATCACCAACAAGCCCATGATGACTTCGCAACTACTGCATCATCCAGTGTGAATTATGAGTTATGATATGTTAGTGATTTAGACAATTCTGTGTACAACTTCACTTACAAACATAGCACACTGTGTACATTCCCATACTTACCGTTTCGCCGTGTGGGCTAATAAATTCATTAGTATCATCGCCATCAAAATTTCCACACAGACCACAGGTTGAATTATAATACTTTCCATGCACGCTTACAAACACCGTAGACACCGTGTCCCAGCTGACCTCCACACCAAAATCAGCCACCAAACGCTGCGAATTGGGACAATAATTAAAATATTCAATAAAGATATTTACGAAATCAGCTAACATGGAAACCATATATCCAGCCAGCCAGCAATGTATTGTTAATTCTTGACAGTTATATCCTGCGATCACTGAATTCAAACATGATATCGAACTCATTGTATTGCGATGTACGAATCGACTAAAGCTCAAAGTTATACTTGAACATCGTACTTACCACGTATCTGCCTGTGTAGATGACGTCCACGCCAATGTCAAGATGCAAGGGCAGATTCACCTTTAAGTCATTTACAAATATTGCGCCTCCTTTCATCAGTTTAATCTCCTGGGAAAATGATATTTTATATATTTATATGTAAGCGTATGGATGAACTTTGCTCGAAATATTGTGATAGTATTTAAACAACTGAACAGACTTTATAAATCACCTACCGTGTTATTCAAAGCTATAATGACACCCTTTGTCCATGCCACACTACTTGAAGGATCGTCTTTGTAATTTTCCACAATTATTTCAATAGGGGGACTATCAATGACATCCTGACAGTTTTTCATTAATGTGTACTGACAATCTCCTTGGAAGTCATATACAATGCCGTCAAATGTAGTGTAGTGAGGATCACCATAAGCCACACAGGTACCGTGAGCTAAAAAAACGTGATATAAACGTGATAAGGCACATATTTACTAACTGCTATATTACCCATTTTCAGTAAATTTTGGTGGTTTTGGAAAACAAATCCCCAATCAGTCATACTGTAAAACCATTCATTTTCACTGGCATTTAATTTCAATAGTTTTATTTTTTGGACAATTTCAGTGGCTTTTATGTTTTTAATGCGTTTATAGTATCGTAATTATTTGTTTTTAATTATTCGTCATACATTAAATCCTTGTGTAACCATATATGTAACTACTATATATATATATATTAGTTGACTCGGTTCTGACATTTGACAGCTGGACAGGTGAATGTCTTTCACGGATTGTGCAGAATGTTGTATCTATTTACCCGGAAGACAGCTCTCTATTCCGTCGCCTTCATATCCCTCCATGCACTGACACGTATTTTCATTGTCTTCGTTGTTACAGTACGCATGCGTATGACATGCCATGGGGGAACATACCAGGGTACCACTGCCACTACATGTGCACGTTTCAGTACATCCATCACGAATAAATGTCGTATCAGGCTGCAGAAACAATAAACAGGCGTTACTTTGACATTCCCCTACAACCTCTGTATACGTTGGCGTTGCATAGTACAAATGAAACAATATGTTCTTACAATGCATATCCTCAATTTTCATACGAGTAACTGAAATATCCACCTCTATTGTTTGAGCAGGTGTAATATCACCGGATATTTGAACTAGGTATTATTTTTTGTCCCGGGATCTAACAAAAACACAGACCCACAGAACGAAACCCTGAGATAAAAACCTACTATTGCAACTGAGCCGGTACTGGCAATTTGTAGGAACGTAGGTGATCATTATCAATATTGACAATGAAAATAAATTCCCGACTCGTGATATTTCGCCTGTTTTCGGCGTTCCGCGGTATGGCGTCTTTGTTTATAATAAAACGCTCTCAGACGATTCTATTTTAAATGTTTTTTTTCTTGCTCATTCATTTCTAGTGGTTTGTGTCATGATTTTCTTTTGTTGGCGCAATTGTACATATGATATTGACGTCCTTCTCGATGGACAACGGAGATAACATTGATATTTCCTCCGCATAGTACTGCTTCTCAAAATACAACACGTTATCTCTGGTATTCGCCGCGAAAAACCTCCAAATATGAACAATATTGTCTCACCTCATACAACACTCCATCATCGTCAATACAGCCACATTCATCGATTAATACACACTCCCGACCCCGTCGAACAAAACCGTCAACGCATTGACATCCTTCTACACATAGGTTGTTACATTGTTCTGTTGGTGTTGGATCGCTGCATGTTGGCTCACACTCATCGACGCACAGTTTATATTCTGCGTTGTCGGTACAATCGAAGGCTGCAAAGTGAATGAATGATGAGTATCAATTAATTTACAACAATACTGGGTAATGTATAGACAAGTAATATAAATATGCAAATAATATTCATTCATAAACAGACCATGAGATTTCACCATATTCAAAGGCTATAAAAATGGTAAGCAGTAAGACTGGTACATTACTGTAAGACTGGCTTACTTGCAGGTACAGAAGTATTCGTAACTACTTACGACAGAATGTCTCAGTTCTCCATGGATACACCTCGATGTTTAACTGCATACACGAATACACAAGGACCTCAATATTTCCACACACTGTGTAATTATCTGGATATGTTGCACAGTAGTCATATTCACATGTTACGTTCAAACTTGCATAATCAATTGCATCCAGACAATTCCTGAACGGTCCTGTTTAAGACACAAAATTAAATCAATTGTATGTTTCATGTATCATACGTGTTAGTATTGCTATAATTTGTAATATGTTTGTACCAATGTTGACTTGCTAATTATACAATATTGCAAGATGCAAAATAAAAGTATTTAACTTACCTAATGGGTCATATAACACACCGCAGACATCAATTATCGTCATCAAGTCAGTAAAAGGAATATCCTTACATGGTTCTATATACTCCGTTGCATTACATGGCTTCTCTCCATACAACCAACTATCTCCAAAGGATTCCGTGCTAAGCTGTGTAAAGCAAAGAAATAGCGATAGCGATATAGCTTTTATAAATCGCAAATCAAGTTTAGAATGTCGAGTATTTAAATGATATAACCTCCAATGTTACTGTGATATTATGAGGCAATTGTATTACAGACAAATTACCTACCTCTGTGCCATTTGTACCGATAAACTCATTTGTATCATCACCATCAAAGTTGCTGCACAAACCACACGTCGAATTGAAATAATCTTTCGACACTCTCACAAAAACGGTTTTTTCAGTGTCCCAGGTTACGCGCACACCAAAATCTGTTATCAGTCGCTACAATATAAAACAACGTGAGAAAAAACCTTACAGCAAAGTAGTCAAGTGTTATGTCATGTATTTGACACATTGAAATACTACGTCACCTTGTCTGACCACGCAGGTTAAGTGGGGGAGTCGTCAACTGTGCATGTGTCAGATGGCCAAAACGTGTCATTGTTTACAATTGTTATCATCGCTTGTGACGCAATTCGCTCGCGTGCGCAGGTGACGACCCTCTCACTTTAAATCGGAGTAAAAACATGCACATAATGTACTGCACAGCTTACCACATATCTGCCAGTGTCTTTGACTTTTACGTTGTGTTCTGTTGTGAGTGGTAATGTCATATTCGTGCCATTCATCACCACGCCCCCGCCTTGTTTCAATAGGAACTCCTGAATATGAATCAATTGGAAACCATTGATGTTTCAGATTATATCCATAGTATGTATTAATCAGTAATGTTCAGAGTGAATAAACAACATTCAGTGATTTATAACACGAATGGGTGGGAAATAAAAAAAGTAAACTCTGATATTAAGTATAATATCAACGCTGGAACAATATACTCACGGTGCCATACACATAGACAGCAACTTCCTTAGTCCATGTAAGTTTCAATCCTTCGTACATGCGATAATTTTCAACAACTATTTCAATTTCTGGATTGTTTAGTACGTCGCGACACGTTTTCATCATTGTGTACCGACAGTCACCTTGGAAACTGTATGTCAGTCCATCAAAAGTGACGTAATGAGGATCACCATATGCTTTACAGGTTGCATCACCTAGAAGAAAAATTTACATAAAGTTAAATATCATATTGTGTCTAAGCCAAACCCTTCCTTTAATTTTGAGACCCTGGTCTTAGACCTTGGTTTTACTAAAACATTTGTTTATGAGCAAATAATATTTCGTCATTATTTGATTAATCTGAGTTTAACAGAAATAAAGGTTGTTTTGCACTTACAAAATAGAGCATGTTTGGTTATACAGCACATAAATGTTACTGTCAATCGAACCGTCGAGCAAGGGTTCTTCCCAATTTTCACTACGGTCCATGGTTTGATTTCACCCGCTAAATTGTGCATATGTATTGTCTTCAATTTATATATTTGACATTACAGTATACATTTTTGCAAATTATCGGCAGCAGACTCTCCGTTTTGTATACCACAGTCAAAATTTACAATTCATTTTATCAAACGTGCTCTACAACTACGGTCAATCAATGTTCCCGGCAAGATACTAATTAGATATTACCCATTTTTTTGTAAATAGTCAACAAGCACAGCTAAATCAGTATCACTCTTATTATGATTATTAAAGACTTCCATGCGATTAAATACTACTTACTCATTTCGCACTCGTCAATCCCATCACCTTCAAAGCCTTCGTGGCACTGGCATCCATAATTGTCTTGCTCGTTCATAGCACAGAATGCACGTTCATGGCATGTCATTGTATCACACACAAACTCAAGATCTCGGGTACATACACATGCTTCAGTACAATCGTTGTTTATCAACATTGTTCCAATCTACAAATACACACATGATGTTTGTTATAATATTAGCATGACAATATCAACCTATTATTAATTAATATTTCTGTATGTCTTAAACACTGTGCACACAACAATTCAACATTAAAGTTCTTTCACTTTATCTGAATGAAATGACCTGACATTATTACATAATTTCTCTCGCAATGTACTTAAATATAGGTTGATGTTTGTGTATATTGAGTGTTAAAACTTAAAAATAAACCCACCATGTAGTACATCCCTTCGTGAAAACACCCACAGTCACCAGCTGGTATGCATTCCCTGCCTTGGCGAACATAACCATCAGAACATTTACAGCCTTCCACACATATAACAGGACATGACTGAGGTACTAACGGGTTATCACAGGTTGGCTCGCACTCATTAGCACACAGGCTGTACTCACTGTTTTCAGCACATTCAAACGCTGTTGGTATTCAGAGACAGTTCATGCATGTATTTTCAGTTATTATTAAAAAAAACAATACGTATCTCAATATTAATATATATTGATGTCTGATTTATGAGCTAGATATTACGTGATTGGACATTACTGACGCTTCTGTGAATTATACTAGATATTATAAATAAAACATTGCAATATGATCAATTTAATGTTAAAGCAATATCAGTGATATGGTCTCAGTTTCGTGGGTACCAGGATTGAAGAAAAGGAAAACCGATACATAAATGTGTAACTCACGACAGAATGTCTCAGATCTCCATGGTAACACTTCAATGTTGCTTTGCATACACGTGTAAACAAGAACCTCAATGTTCTCGCAGACAGTACGGTTATCCGGAAACGTTGCACAATAATCATATTCACATGTGTCTTGCAAGAAGGTGAAGTCTGTGTCCGAGCAATTCCTGAACGGACCTATGTATACACCACGAATAAAATGTTGTAAAATATAACGATTTCATAGTTTTTGAATTGTAATTACTAAAGGTTACTATTGTTTATAGATGTTTTTTGGTTCTTCGCGAACTGTGAGTGTCAACAATTACAAGCATTGTAGTTGAATTTTCGTTTCTCTAAATTTGTTGGACAAAATATCATTGAATTAATTATAGACGGATTTATGATATTTAACATTTAAATATTTGTCCACCACACTGCCTTATTTCGCGAAATTAATCTTCCGCGTTCGTTTTTCTTGCTATGGAGAACCTAAATTTACAATATTTGATTTTTAAATTGATTACACTACAATAAAACCAGAAAAACATAAAGGGGCACCTTCCAGTTAAGCCTAATCTCACAACAAATTTACTTTCTGGATTAAAATAACAATGGATAACAAAAGATAGATTAACATTGTAAACAACATAAGCAATAGTGTCCCATGATTCTTTGGTGCAATCCATGGGATTGAGAGGTTCCCTTTTAATAACCCAACGAGATCCAATGTAACTTGTTATTTTCTAAAATATTCTAAATATTTTTTTACATTAATATGCTATATATGTTTTGAGAACATTACAGATGTATACACAGTTATGGAGAATACGATTTTATTCAGAAGCATGAATTAAAGATATTTAAGTTTGATCGTATGGTTTGAAGCCAATTTTATCCGCTTAATTTGAACACACGGTAGGAACATTACAACATCTCTTATGCATATTTACCGACCTATTAACCATGTAGTGAAGATGTTTTCAATACCTTGAGAGTCTGTTATGATAGCGCAAGCATCAAAAATCAATGCAGTCTCCTCTTCAGTTCTGTTCATGCATGGATCAACAACTTCAGCAGGTATGTTACATGTATCACTGTCGTACAGCCAACTATTGCCGAAATCTGTCCCATCCGTTAGCTAGAGTTATATGGCGAAAAACAGTGCTCTCATCAGTTAACTTACTTCTTCGTATTTATTTAACTTACTCTATCAATAGGTATTTTTGTTATTTTAGGACCCACAATTATACATAAGGTAGCCAGAGTAAGCGTTTATTTCACCTCTGGAGCACACAATTACCTTACAGGCACATTATTAGGAGATGCAAAAACACACATAAGTGTGTTTATATTATCCAGTGAGTATTGATGTATAATGAAGAGTGGCAAATAATGTTTTCGACACAAACATGCAATTGACGATCAACATATATTACATATAAATGTTCAGTGCATGGTATACCCAGTAACATTTCATCGGCCTACAAAACATATAATAATATCACAACAATATTACAAAATCGTTAAAATAATCCACGAAACATGCTGACCATCTGAAAATCACACACAATATAACAAAGAAACCGTGAAAATATATAATCGACTAGAAACGTATGACAGTAGTTAAAATACTATGAGTGATTTATGCTCACACCAACATTAAACATGGAAAATATGGGAAATATTCAGTTATGTTGTATTAGAATATGTTATGTTGTATTTCAATACATATATGTTATAGTATGTCACAAACATGAGTAAAGATATGTTATTACATGAAAGATGGATAACAACAACATTCATGCAACAAGAGATATGCAACAATACACGGCATCAAATGAACACCCTCAACGAAACAAATACCACCAACGTGCATTGCTAACTTGCATAGATTGCAAGTGTAGTATCCTACATGATCACGTTCGGCCCCTTATTAATTTCCTAAATGCCTCGGTCTTTATAATTTACGGGGATTGAATCATTACAACCGATCATGCACCACGGGTACAAGTCTATGGTTATTATATTTAGGTTGGCATTCTGTTAACACTAGCTGCGGTATCATTAATCACAAATACTGTTTGTTAGTGCGTCGCACACGTCTGGTTTACGTTCTCCTAGAAATATTAATAATAAGAATTAGTTGTATTAACATTTCGGGAGAAGGAAAGCATTGCATATTGAATCCTCTGAGAACAGCTTAAAAGCATTTTTTTGATATTTAACAAGGCAGTGCAAACAATTTTTTTGTACCCATCTCTATATTCCACATTATTAAAGATAAGATACGAGATATGTGATATGTAGCATTGTTTAATTATATGGGATAGGTGTGTTTGGAACATTCATGTTTGTTTTTTGTAAATAAATATATTTACACAAAGCACAACACATGCATGAATGAGTCAAATATACGTACAAGTTTACTATCAGGATCCATGAAATCGTTGCTATGGTCACCATCAAAATTTCCACATAGGCCACATGTTAAATTATGATATGAAGAAGGCACATTTACAAATGCTGCTTGCACTGTGTCCCATGTGACACTCACGCCGAAGTCTGTTAACAATTGCTGGAATAAGAAAATACTGTTGTTGTCAATGATGTGACAAATATTTCATTGCATTTAACAAAATATGTCGAATTAAATAATCTTTTATCATATGCTCCTTGCAGCCTGAATTTGTCTCGCATGACTTACACGGCAAACTCTCACACTGAATAATTTCACTCACCACGTATCGGCCAATGTATACAATATTCACTAAGTCACTTTCATAAGGTAGCCACACATTGGAACCGTTGACTGACACATCGCCTTGCATCAATTCAAAAACCTTAAATGTAATTCAATAAATGAGTATTGAAGTAATGTATAAGTGGTAAGATTCGTTTGACTGGTCGAGATATACATGTAAAGGTAATATACGTGAATCATGGTTAAATACAGCATATTGTAAGGTGGTGGATTTAATACAGACCCGGAATATTAAATACTGACACTAAATCGTTCGATATAATAATAATTTATGTTAAGAAAATTTATGTTAAGAAAACAATAATTTTTATTGAATATTATGATCTGTAAATGTTTTTCTGTTTTCTTTTATTGTTGTTTTGTCTGTAATTTGTAATTTTTTGCATAATGAATAAAAAAAAGAGTATGGTAAAAAAAGAAAAAAAAAAGAAAACAATAAACATTACAGTCAATGAACACGTGTATGTTTGATGTAGTGATGGTGCGGTGTGCTAGGGTTAATTTAGTGAAATTATAAAATAAAGTCTTATTTGACACATACCGTATTATACACATAGATGATGACCCCTCTTGTCCATGACACACTATCTTGTTGGTGTATCTTGTAATTATCAACAATGATCTCAATTTCGGTTTGATTCAGCATATCATAACAGGTTTTCATCAAAGTATACTTGCAAATACCTTGGAAATCGTATGCTTGTCCATCGAAGGTAATATAATGTGGATCACCGTACAATTTACAAACTCCATCAGCTAAGACAAACAGACATACATATCACAAATCTCGTTAATAAATAAACATGGGTATGCTGCGCGTGCTTACTATTGTAATACATGGCGCAAGACAGGCGCGGCTATACGAACTTTAGCGTTAACATTAAACTCGAGATTATGGATAAAATTCATACTTTCGAATAAATTACATGAGGTAACATACTTGGATTCCAACATACGTAGAACAAGAACGACAGATGAAATATTAGATATAACACGTAAACTACGTATAAGCAAGCAATGTACATAATGCAACACGTGGTTGGCGAAAAGCAAGCATGTCAGGCACCTGACCTTATGCGACACAATTTCGACAATTCGCGCTGTCTAGTGACGTAGCGTCCTATGACGTCAACATGATGTATATTTCTGAAAGGAATAACCACAAACAACTCAGTGCATGTGCGTATATCTATCAAATCTAAAAAAATCATAATGTTATTTGACAACCACATATTAATATCGACGCTTGGAACAGTGTATTTATACATCAGTTACGTCACAGAAACACTTATTTGCCGGAGGGCACTTGCTTGGTATATTAAAGATTTACTTTAACTTACTTTGTTGGCAATCATGTACTCCATCCCCTTCAAATCCCTGAAAACAGCGACATCCATAATCACTATTGAGATCTATATCACAGTATGCATTGACGTCACATTCTAATGTAGTACACTTGGTTTCTCCATCAATTGTACATTCACAAATATGACTGCATCCTCTGCGTACAAATGTACTTTCTCGCTGCAGGTACAAAAATATATTACTTTATAAATACTGATATAATCCATCAATCACCCATCCTTAAATGACAGCAATATAGATATGGCACAACACCGAATTTTAATGGAATTGAATATATTGTTTTTTATAAACAAGTATATCTTACTTTATATATTTTACCAGCATATCTGCATCCACAGTCCCGCGGTGACACACACTTCTCACCATCAAATAACTTGCCATCTTCACATTCACACCCTTCTACCTCATTCTCCATACACTGATTGCTCGCCGTCGGGTTCACGCACGTATTTGGGCAGGCACTTGTTAGCATTTTATAAACTGCTCCTTCCGGACAACTGAGGGCTGCGAATTGAATGATTGAAGTAAATTAAATTGAACTGAGTATACATAATGGTCCCATGCAGCACTACAAGACGTGTAGTTATATAATACTTACGACAGAAGTCTGGCCTTCTCCAGGGCAATAATTCACCTCCATTCTCGACACAGGTTCTAGCATAAGATTCAAGTGTATCACATAAACTCTCGTCGCCGGGGAAAGCACACATATCATAAACACAGTTATCGTAGTAACTCACTGGATCACTGCTGTTATGACACCCATAAAATGGCCCTGCAAAAAGGTGAAACGTTAATTTTCGTCTTTAACCTAAACAAGTACTTTAACATATCGACTATATCCCAATAACTTTGGGGGAAAAAACCTGCAGACAAAATGCCAGGTAACACAATTTACTGTATAACCAACCTGTTTCATTGAATAATATTTCGCATTGTGCTTTATATCTTTCAATTACTGTAGAGTCCAAACCAT